CCCCCCCCGGGGTCTACCACGTTCTACCCACCCACGCGTGAGCCCCTCAAATTTCAGATCACATACTCATTCAAGCTAAGGTGAACGGGTGTTGTTTATGCGTGTGTGACGTTACTCGCGGACTGAACACAGAGATAGAGATTCACCGTACGAAATCCGGGAATGCCTGACGTTTTATTTCGGCGGGTAAGAAAGCTGCATGCCACTTCGTCCTTATTTGTTGCTGATGTTGGAATCTGTCTGCCTTGTAAGATTATTTCTTCATATACTATATTTTTTAACAATTCAGGTACAGTAGAACAACAATCGCTTCGCCCTCTCCCGAATCCGTTGTTTGTTCATCAGTCAACCAGAAAAACGCTGCGTGCCACTGGGTATTTTCGACAAGCTGTGCCACTACAGCACAGAAATCTCTGTGAAGGATTTCCACCCAAAAGCCTTCACATGACGACCGACCGCGGTCGCCCAATCAAAATCCCGCTAACAGCGTTCACCGTGTCCGAAACAACCCCTTCCTCCCAAACTACCTTGGAGGAGACATACGACGCCATCCAAAGGATTGTCGGTCAGCAGGCGTGTGTGTTTCTTTTCTACAGCAGTCTATTGTGACCAATCAGATTGCTGCTTGCCACAGCAGCTGCTTGCTCCCTCCTTGGGATCGCCTTTCCCTCACACGCCTTGTGCGTTGCTCCTCCTCCCTTCACACTCGCCACAAAATCGTGCTATTCAAGACGCCGGCCGCCTACACGATGATCAGCGATCTGTTTCCGGCGTCGGTTCGAGGGACAGCGAACTCCATCTACTCGTCCGGGGTGTACTTGGGGGGAGCGTTGGCGAGCTTGTCTTTGCTGCTCAACGGTAAGTCCACGGCGAGTCGGTATACTCAGTCTGGGTCCGCTGTACGCTCTTCGTACTGGCGGCATTAGATCCGGTTCGCTAGCCGCCGTCCATGCATTTTCACGATGAAACTCACACCTTTTCCGTCGAAATAGCCCATCCCTTGACCGATTTCCGCTGAACCAAGTACCCACTCCCACAACCGGCATTGGAGACTAAGTAGTCCCGCGCTTTCCTGCCATGTTGTTGTCGTTGTCTCTTCTACCCTAATCTTCAAGGCAAAGAAGTAAATTTCCGTGGCCACAAGCTAGCCCGAATAAAGTACAAGCAAGGAGAGGCGCGTCATCCAAAGTATCATCTAGTCATGGACGTGAAACGTGAACCTTGATCGGTGATATAGTTCCCCCCCCCCCTGCGCCCGCACTTACGAAATAAACGCGGCAAGGCGCGATCGGATGGCGCGACAGCCACCTCGTGGTGGCAGCCGTAGGCGTGGCCGTCGCCGTCCTGTCGGCCCTCCTCATCCAGGAGCCGGCGAGGGAGTTCCCCACTGCCGGTGAACCCGGCGCGGGGGACAACACCGCCGCTACGGGTGGTGACAAGGGTGGCGGCGGTGCGGGAGAGGAGTCGGAAGAGAGGGAATCGTTTCAGGAGGCCCTGGGTATCGTTTTCAAGTCCAACACGGTCAGGCTGGTGCGAAAGCGCGTCGTACACGCTGATTGCATCCGACACCCGTCTCCGTCGGTCTCTTTTTGCGTTTTTTGTTGGAGCTGTTCCGGCTGCTGTGGATGTATGGTGTTGGACCAACAACATCAGTAGTATTTTTTGCGCGCTGGCCGCTCTTGCACCGAAACGATGTAGCTGTTTTGCTGCTGGCGTAAACCTTTTCACGCGCTGTCCGCGGAGTATTGTGTTGCGGAGCAGGGTATCACCTGCTCTGATTGGCGCAAGCGATTTTAACCGTATGCCGCGGTGAACGAAATCGGCACACTTCAGAAGATAATGGGTAGCCATCGACTGCTCAGTAAGCCTCCTGAGTAGTCTAAACGGCACGGATTGACTAGTCTAATGGTTACGCCTTTATCCAATAAAACGATGACAACCCCGACTCCCCGCCTTGCCCCCTCCTCGTGCCCTTCCTCCTCAGGCTGACTGAGTAATCTTGCCGTTACGCCTTTGTCTAAAACAACAATGACAACCCCGACTCTCCGCATTGCCCATCCTCCCCAGGTATTCCTGGCAACGGCCTTCCGGTTCTGCGCTGGCTTCGGCATTGGGGTGTGGTGTGCCCCCTTCTTCCGAGGGCGTTTCCCGTCCAACTCTTCTGAGTACGCCGTCCTCAACGCCTTCGTCGTGGCGGGCGGAGGCCTCCTCTCGTCGTTCCTAGGGGGCGTCGTTTCGGACAAGTACTCTGTCGAGGTGGGTTCTCAGCCCAGCTAATCTCGAGAGGCCTGTTGTGATTCTTGGTATCAATCAGCGATGCGTGCTGACGTGATTTTTCGTCGACTTGCGGTACGTTTGGGCGTTTGCTGCGATGGGCGGCAGGTTCGAGTCGTTTCTGGGAGGCTTTTTTTCGACGACTGCCCCGATCCAGGCGCAGTAGTTCGGAACATTATGTTGGATGTTCTTACGCTCCTAATAGCAAAGATGAGCACCATACAAGCATGCAACAAGCGTTTCACCCGCCGACACTTGTCCTATTTACATGTGGATTCATTTCTTGGGTTGCTAGAGCTGTCGGTGACGTGATTACATGAGCATAGGTGCTGCGATGGTCATCACCGGGCCGGGCTCCGAAGGTACCTGCCACCCCCCCCCTCCCCTTTCCTATTAGAAAATAGCGAAGGGTGTAGCGTATCTTTGTTGCCGGAACCCCGTTTCTCCCCTAACCCGTTCCGTCAACTCCCGACTGCACGCCTTTCTCCCGTCCGAAAGGACCCGCGGGTGCGTGCATGGGTGCCGATGGCAGGGTGCATCCTCGCCATTCCGTGCTGGATCGGGGTCGTCACCGGGACCAACTTCTATGTTTCGCTGGCCTTCCTGCTGGCGGAGTACATAGCGGCGGAATGTTGGTTCGGTGGCACGGTGACGATACTGCAGGAGGGCCTTCCGCCCAACGTGCGAGGCGTTGGCCAAGGGGTGTTCAGGTGATCGTCCCCCTCTCTTCTCCCGTGCACGCGCGAAGATCGACTGGCGTGACGAAATGCGGTCGACACTACTGTGGCTACGGCCAGCGATTGTTTGCGATAGATCGTATCTTGGTCATTCGAGTAAATCTCGAAATGGTGTGAACTACTGCTGCGAGGCAATCCGAGTGAAACGTGATATTGTGTCCAGCAGGCGCCGTCCGGAAAACGTTGTGCTGATTACATGTAGCACAACACGCGACATTTCTATTCCAATGAAGCCGCTAGCATCTGTTGACGTCCTAGCACTTTGCTGTCCTTCAACGGCTTCTCTTGTCCGGGCGTTCCCACCTCCCAAGTTTACCACCTGCCCCGCCTGCTCGCTGTGGTAGCCTTTGCAAGGAATTTAAGCTTGGTTTTAGTAGATGGGGATGGGGCGGGGTTGGGGGCTAGGGGTAGGGTTAGAGATAGGAATACGAAGCCCCACTCTCTTTTTCATTGATTGTCTCTTAAATCCTCGCAAAGGCAATCAATCCGCTCGCTGACCCCCCCCCCCAACCCCTTACGGCGTTCGCACCTCAAAACCCCTTACAACAGCACACTGTCGGCGTTCGGAACGCTGGCTCCTCCGCTGATGGGGTACTTGATCCGACAGGGGGGATTCGAGCTGCAGGACGTCCTCCTCTACACCGTGGCGGCCTTCTACGCGATCAGCGCCCTGTTTTTCTTCTTCGTGGGGGAGTCGGTGTTGGCTGACCACAAGCGAGACGGCAAGCTGAAGGAGGCTTGAGGTAGCGGCGTAGCGTGAGCCTGCAGAGTTGGCGCGTCTTGAAACGCGTCCCTTTCTTGATATTGCAACAACGAATTTGATGCCAATAACGATTTTCCTCTGGCGGAGGAAGTACAAGGACTATCATTGGTCGGAATTATGTACGCGGACTGTCTTTACCGTGCAGAGACGCAGAGGCGACGCTGGGAGGGGCGGGGAGGGGGTAGTTGGTCCATCGTTGGGTCTAGAGGAAGTGCCTTGGCATTAGGTGGCGTGCATATAAGATGGTGAAGAACGTAGCTTGGTGTCGGAAGGGCTCAACCCTTATCGCGGTGTCTGATACACATGAAACGTTTTTGGCCGCTGTGCCCCTGTTCGAAACGATTTCCATCCGTTGATACCCCATGCTGGTGCTGTGCGCGAAGGTTCACTGAACAGAGTTTCTGTGTAGGGTTCGTCCTGTGTACCCCCCAGTTGGTACGTCCACGTATTTTACCGAAACGCGTAGTCTTGACGTCCAGAAAAACGCAGAAGTGTGTATAGCGTGCGTGTGTGAGCAGTAAGGGGGTGGTCGACAAGTCTACAAGCCCTTGTTGTAGGCAGTCTTGATTCGGCACGTGCACGTACATGATATGGATGGATGCCTCGTCGTACGTGATACTTATTTTGTTGAACAGGCTACGATGCCTTAACCACATGTTGCTGTGTCAGGATCCGGCGGCAAGAATTCTTCGCACGTGATTCTGGGCGCGTTGTGTCCTTGCGATGCTTGAGGCCCGTGGTAAACCGCGAAACACGATGCACACACACGTGCGGTGCACAGCAGTGGTGCGCGTTGTCGTTTTGAAGAGCATGGTGTTGTCATCGCCCTGTGGTCGCTTGCGATGGAATCGCGTTTTGTACATACCGTTTCGCTTTGTTCGCTTCTCGCTTGTTCCCGTCCGTTCAACGACGACTCGCCGACGGCATGTCTGTCGTCGGAATAGGCAATCAACCTCTCGAACCAGTAATTAATCGAGGAGTCGATAAGCTCACGTAATAAGTGTATTCAACGGAGACAAGGTTGCGCTCCATGCATTCAGCAGATAGATGGAGAAGCGGGACACATGCGAGCACGGTTGCTGTTGACGCCCAATGGGTGGGGGTGTGGTGTCATCAGCGAAGGGTCTCAACTTTTCAGCCGACGCACGACATAGTCTAGAACATGACTCGGGGGGAATCGTCGTCGACAGACGTCGGGTAGGGTATATCGTACCCTCTATGCATAAGTATGATGGATGGTGCTGTCGTAAATACCCCCCCATCTTTTCTATTTGCGTGTCTTCTTTTAGGCAGCAAGCAGACTTCATGACTATATTAACCTTTTGGCTGGTGGCGAGTCGATTTTTTTCCACTCCTCACGTTGTCATGTGCGTGTTTTCTCGAACGCGGACCGGCCACCGTCGCCGCGTGATAGAATTATCAACAAGTTCGACGATCTGATGTCGGTCCCCTATTATTCCACGTTTTCCTTTCGTTTTTCGTTATCTTTTTCCAAATAGAACAAATTTTCTGGCTAGTTTACAAATCTTTCGGGGTACCATATGTTATCATATCAGCCCGGGTCAAACAGGAGGAAGGTCACACGGGAGCGCTTCTTGTTAGTTGTTGCTTTGCCTGTCCTCCTGCGGTATAGTCTATGGTTTAGTTCAGTTTTTGTTGCGAGAAGGGTTACGTCTTCCCTCTTCTTCCCTCGTCAGTCGTTAATATGCAACGAAAGGTGCATAAATTGTCGCTTTCGACTTCAAAATTGTAGGCAAAAAAAAAACTCCATGGAGCAAAATCGAGACCACAACCTGCTACAAGTGTGTGTGTGGGGGAGGGCGTCCTCATATGTTTTGCATGCCTTAGCGGTTAGACCATTGACCACGCGTCCTCGAGAGGGCGGAGCAACCTTCTGCTAGTGGGAAGCGGGATTTGAAGCCGGGGTCCGTTCCAACACCATCGTCGGGCTCTTTTCGTGGACGCCGATGTGAAAAAAGTAAACCGTCCTCGCCAGACGTCGGGGAGTTTGAACCCCTTCATGGACGGACGTGATCTGAATACGTCGACTAGACCTCGAATTCCCCAACTCAGTATTGACATGCCCATCCACGCGTTTTACCCTTGTCAATCAAAACAGAATCAATCCGGCCGTCTAATTAATCTATAACAGGGTCCTTTTGCCAGTCACGTACTTATTGAAGCCATCTAAGGCATCTACATAGTTAGCCGCTGAACCTACACAAACTGCTGTAGTATGCAATCTCCAAATCACTTAAAAATTCTGTTGGGCCCTCGATTGCACCAACCACAACAGTGTGGTATGCAGCCCGGCGGAGAAATGCGTGTGTAGTGTGTGGCCTTCTTTGTCGGCCGCCGCCGCCCGATATGTTTTGTTATATTTCTTCTCTCCGCGTGTTGAGAGGCTCCCGCGATGTGTGACTCGGGGGTGAGCGTCCTAGTGTGTGGTGAATTATGTGAGATGGAGGAGACTTTCATTTTTGGTCGTGTGGGGAACGCGCACGGCGGTTGTATTGTCAAGGCTAGTCTGGTGTTGTGCAAAAAGACAATCAGCCGGCCAGGAGTTACATGGTACGTACCCCGGTAGTCTAGTGGATAACCTCGCAGCCTGCTAAGGGTCAGGTCATGGGTTCGAGTCCCGGCAGAGTGAGTTTTTCTCTCGCTAAAGTGGTAATTTTCAAGGACCCGATTGTGGTTGTCCCTCCATAACTTTTGACTGAGATCGAAAAAAAAAAAAAACAAGACAGCTTCAGAACGCCCGTAGCATGGCGCAAAAGAGTAGCGAGTCGCCAGAGAAAAGACCAAAAAAAAAAAGTGCTGGCGGCGGGTCTCGAACCCCCGACCTTAGCCCGCGAGAAACTTTTCACCCATATATTTACGTACCCAGATTTTTGTTTTTCACGTCAACACACCTACACGTGTACCGGGAGACCCTGAACCACTTCACAAATGCCTCTGCCGCGCCTATAGCGTACCTATATCACCCGCTAACGTACTTCCGTCGCAAAAATGTGCCAGCTTTCAACAAACACGTCGCTTTTGTACAACATTCCATCCAGAAAAACAGGGAAAAAAACTGAAAGAGTTCCGCTCAACGAACAAGAATGCGCCATCCATCTACTGTCTCCATTCCTTCGGGGTCGGGCGCCTGTGTGACTTGTACTTCTTGTACGTCTTCTTGCCTTCAGGCCCTTCCACACGCGTCTCGCGGTACATGAGGGCGTGTGTGTATGCCTTCTTGCAGTAGCCCTGGACCACTGAAACAGCCTGCCTATCCTTCTCTGATCTAAAACTCAGCGGCACGTTTTTGCGCAAGCATTCCAACGAATACGTGCAATTCTTGCGAGTCCAGTCCTTCGCTCGTCCCCAAACAAGTTCGATGGGGTTACACTCGCAGTGGTACTTTGGAAGCATGAGACAGCCCCCCCCGTGGCGCTGCATTAACAGCACCAGACTAGAATCAACTTCCTTGAAGTCTTTCTGCTCTCCTAGAACGTGTTCCATGCTCTTGCTTAGGTCCTGCTTCTCGCCTGAGCCCCCGGTCTTAGTCATGCCTTTGACCAGGAGCCCCCTCTCCCACAAGACCTGCCGCATTCCTTTCAGCTTTCCGACATACTCGGCCGGCCGGAGATGCGGGGAGTGGAATGGGGGTGGGTCCCCCCTCCGAAACGTCAAGTGCTGTACCG